GCTTGTTGTTTTACCCCTGAATGTGTCATTGGTGAAAAAAAATTATAAATCCATCCGTGTAAACAATACATAAGGTGGACAATCACAAAACTAACATTAACTACATCATTCATGCTCCGTTCATTTGCTCCTCCAAGATAAACGTTGGCCCTGGGAAGCTTTCTGCGTTAAGCCGTGCGAGAAAATAGGTGAGGAAGTTAGAACCAAAACGCAGGACTCTTTTAATGCAACACAAACACAATTTTATTTTCTTTAGCGCTTTTTTCCCAAAAAGCTTTTTCCAAACAGGCCCAAAAGGTGGATAGAGCTATTTTCTTTTTTTGACCCATGAATAGTTACGATCTAAGAGCATCTCCAAAGGGACTTGTTATTTGTGACTTGCTATTGCTTTTTTTTATCAAATGAATAGTGGTATAACAAGTCACTTTTTGCTCTCTTTTCCAACCTTGACTTCTTATATTAAACTCTTGGGGGAAGTTCCCATGACATTGGGAACCATGGGATGATCCGGGTGCGCTCCGGTCCCCCGTTGGTAAAATTGACGGTAAACCCCCCCAACCCCGCCCCGACCCAAACACACCCCCCACCCCTTCAATTTCACCTCACAAGTCGATTTTGACTTTGGAGTCAAAATTTGATTCTAAAGTCTAAATCGATTTATGAGGTGCAATTGAAGGAGGTGGGGGATGTGTTCGGGTCGGGGCAGGGTGGGTGGGTTTATCGGGGGGTTAGGGGAGGTAGGAACCGTCAATTTTACCAATGGCACCGAAGTGCCCCCGGGTCATCCCATGACATTGTGATGTCATGCGAGAAAATAGACGGTTCCGAAAATATTTTACTCATTTTGATCAACATGCAAAACCTCATGACTTTTAAAATGATTTTATTTACAAATTTGTAAAAATACAAAATAAAAAATTATATTTAAAATTTATGTCAAAAACTTTACAAAACAAGAGTTGATAAGAATATTTTATTTTATCTATGATCAATGAAGACACGCAAACAAATAAGAGTTATCGAGATACCTTAATAGTAAATGAGTATTTTTTGGGACGGAGGGTGTAAATAATAAATATATTTTGTTCCAATAGCCATTATAATACATAAAATATAAATGTTCTTGAATTGTATTTATCCATATAAATGTAAAACAAAAGTACTCCCTCTGTCCGGAAAAGAACTTCTCATTCTACGTTTTTCCCCGTCCGGAAAAGAACTTCCCATTATACGTTTTATACCCAATCTTCCTAAAATACCCTTCCTAAAATTACAGTATGTAATTAAAAAATATAAAATAAAATGATTCTAATTAAAATAAAATAAATCAAACAACTCTTCTCATGGTAAAAAAATCACATTCACATCGGAAAAAAAAATTGTTATACGGAGTATTTGTGCAGTATATATCATTGCAAAAGAAATTCACATTAATTTTTGTTTAGCTATATTCTAGCATGCTTGTTATAAATAGCAAGTTGTTTTCATTTTTTAACAAGTTAGTCAAATTTTAAATAACCCTTTAGAGCATGAAATTTTGTATATGATTGTCAAATTATAGCATGTAGCAAGTCATTTTGTTATGGTTGGAGATGTTCTAAGAAGTAACGAGTGACCTTGTCCATCCAAACTTGTGGGCCTTCCACTGAAAGTCTGCACAAGTGATGATGGATGAATTGGTGGGCCTGTTGGCCTTCCCCGAAAAAAAGGTTCAAAAAAATACATCTAAAATTAAATTACATGTTTATTAAATTCACAAGATAAAATTTTATTTATTTTATTTTTCTATTTTTATTAATCAATTACTAAAATAATATAATCTTGTCACTACGAATTTTGTAAATCTTTTGATATACTCCCTCCATCCCATGTTATATAACACCTGTTTTAGCTTACGATTTTTGACTGAAATCATTTTCAAATCATTTTATGTTACAAATGGTATATACTTAAAAAATAAAAATTACATATTAAAATACTACATTAAAAGATCCACAAAACTAATAGTAACAATAGTACTTTATTTTATCAAATTTCTAACAAAAATAGAAAAAGAAAGTGAATGAAATTTGACTCTGTAAATAGTGAATATGCATTATAGTTTTGGTCGGAGGGAGTACTTTTTAAATATGTATGTTTTATTTTTTAATTATACACCACTTTTATATAAAATTTGAAAACCACTTTAATCAAACATCGTAAACTAAAACAGACAATTTAAATTAGATAGATGGAGAATAAAAAATTCACATGTTCGATGTGATCGATGGAATAAATAAATAATGTAAATAAAAATTTGAGGCATAATAGTACATTCATTAAAAGTTATTGCTAAAGTAAAATATGGGAAGAAATAAATTCGAAAAGAGTGGAAAGAAGTTAATGGGGAGTATAATTATCTAAAACTAAATCATTGCAGCCATAATTTTAAAGACCAAACCAGACCGGCTGATTCAAACCGAGAACCGGTGAACCGGACACCGAACTGGTCCAGTCCAATCAATCAAACCGCTATCTGTACTGAACCAAAGGCTTCGTCAAAAGATGAGAGAATACATGCACCACAATCATAAAGCCATGAGCTCTCTCAGACCATTAATTGCATTTGTGGATTTAGAAATTGCTAAAGCCATGAGCTCTCTCTGACCGTCAGCATAGTTTTTGAGTGCATGGGACTGAATGCATCCTGAAATTTAACTAAATTTGTTAGTAGAAAGATAAATGGTCAACTACTCATGGCATGTGTTGATTTGCATTTTGCAAGAAAAATGAGTCTTCCACTAAAACACAATGCATCAAATCCATAAATATGAACAATAAGATTCTCTCAATGTCATTACCAATCTTTTCATCATTGTGCATGCAATTTCTCAATGTCATTACCAATCTTTAATACATTCAGTATGCAATTGCCCCACAACACTCATCTTCATCCACAATGGAAATGAAGAGTTTTCATTTTAGCAGTCAGCATACTGTTTTCTAGACCAGTGAACAAGCTTATCGAGATGTAAAGTTGCATGCTAGGAGAGCTATGCAGTTTCATTCAGTCAATTTCTATTAAGTGATTTGACAGGACATGATTATCTCTAACACTGAAAAACATTATGAGCTCAATAGCACATTCAAGTCCGTATTAAATAGAGGAGGGGGGGGGGGGGTTGCATTAGTACTGGCAAAGTTGTTAAAATCATGAGGGAAGGGTGGGATGATCTACGATGTTGTTAGTAAATTACAAAAAATTGGAATCGTCCAAGATTGCAAAATTGCAGGTCGATTATATCTAGGAGATGCACAATGCCGGGTCGGGTTGCAATCTTTTGTCGGACCTCGTCCGCATCTTCAGTATTCTCTTCGTCTTCAGCTTCTTTTACCCTCTTCGAGTATTCATAAATTATGTAGGCTGGGCCGACTGAAAGAATAACCACATAATTGGCCCTTTTCTTCAGCCTTAGATTGTTCACCAAGTCGCATCTTCGAAATTAAATCTTGTTTTCCATTAAAATAATATTTAAAAAAAGAATCTTTACTAATAATATTAATTTAAATTATAACCATATATACTACTCCGTATTATATTTCCATGTTATTTTTAAATTCACACTCCCATTTATTAGCTAAACACTCTTTCGATAACTTTGTAAAAAACAAAGTATTTATATGAATAGTGATACAAATAATCATTTCTTCACAACTTATGTGACTTGTTACCGTAGGAATTACTACTTTTTTTGTTGTAAAATTAAGTTGTTATAAAGAGGTAGATTTTATAAACTTTATCTACTCACAATGAGTCTAGAATCTAAGGATTCGAGTTGCGATCTCCAAGTTTACGATCTACTACCCCGCTTTTGATCCTAGATAGGAACTCGATTTTAACCTTAAGTAGTGGATTTGAAAATACCTTTAAAGAGTGTGCCGAAGGTGAACGCAGTGACTCAAATTGTTGTTGAACCGCAGCAACATTTTCGGTCATTACTTTTTGAAATTGAGCATCAATCTGTTCAAACACTTCCTTGCACGACAAGTCGAAAGCAGGGATTATTGAAGCTTCAAGAGTTGATTTTAATGCTTCCTGCAGAATAAATGCACAACATACTTCAGGATCTGAAATTAAACCTCACCACAATTTACGTTTTCACATCAATCCATTATCCTTGAAAAATGCCAATTTTTATAAGAACAAATAAGTCACACTCGCTACACTGCAGCAATATAGCAAAAAAAATTAATAAATATAATTATTAGTCACAAAGGGTTGATGGATTGGCTTAAGTACACAACAGTAGTGTAGTCCCTGCAACCAGCAATTTTGTGGATTGTCACCTCTCACAAAATCATAATAGCCCAGCAAAAAACTTAGTCACGCCTTGCCGCAAGAGAGCTGTTGGGTCAGTTGTCTAGTGAATCTTGTAGTTGTCCCTTCTCATTTCAAGTCTACAAACGACTTAAGGTTGGTCCCTAATAAAGCCAGGATTTGTGTGATCAAGTCAGATGAGAAGTCATTAATTGCCTTCATAGCCACCAAAGCTCATTACCAAGAAGGCTAGAAGAAGAATGTTGTGCTGCTTGAGTCTCTACAACTATGTACTGGAATGAAAGATGTCCCCCAGTACATTGACATCGGGATGTCAACCAATCCAGCCCAACAACTAAAACATACTCCCTCCGTCCCGCTAAGATCTTCTCGTTTTGACTTTTTGTGGTTTTTAAGGAGAATTGGAAAAAGGTGAAAGTTTACCAAAATACCCTTGATGAAAATGGGTGGGTGGGGTGTATTAAATAAGGTGGAAAAGGTGTAATAAATAAAGTAAGTGGTGGTAGTTGTGGTATTTTAAATGTTAAAAAAGGTAATGAGAAGATTTATGTGGGACAAATAAAAAGGGCTAATGAGAAGATCTATGGGGGATGGAGGGAGTATATAGAAGGATCGTCCAGTTTTTCTTGAAGTACCATTTGTATAAACAATCTTCATGAAAGAAAAGAGAATGACTATGGTGCATTGGATTTGGGATGTTAGGGCTATTAAAAAAATTTAAATTCATGAAAATTTTGAAAAGTGGTGGAATATTAGTAAATAATTTGAACATTCCACTGCAGAGACTACAAACGTGAATGTGCATCATGATGGACTACAAATGCACCACTTTCATTTCTCACCTTAAAAGCCATTCACTCCTGAACCACACTTTGTATGTGTCACCATGTGCATGCACACACAATAGAGAGAGAGAGAGAGAGAGAGAGAGAATATACAACCAAAGGTTATATTTTAGCTAAAAACACCGAGTTTAACTTTGAAAAAAATTGTAAATAAATGAAATAACATACTAATAATATAATCGAACAAAAATCACAAAGCACATACTATAGTGCATATACATATGGATATGCATATGCATATGCATATCGATATCATATCCATATGCATGTCCATATCCATATGCATATCCATACCCATACACATACCCATACCCATATACATATATATAGACACACACACACACACATATTCAAGCACATGCTCCTTCCATATTGAAATAAAATTTACAGTTTGACCTCACAGAGTTTGAGAAAAGAGTAGAAAAGTAAAAATGAATGGTTGAAATTTATTAGATCTGATAGAAAATTTATCCTGGGATAGAGGGAGTGCAATGTTTTGTTTGTGTATACTTTAAGCCAAATTATACAGCGACTATCCCCGTAAGAACTAAGTCCATAGCCCATCTTCCATTTGAAGCTGATCTGTGTTTGTTTCACTTGATGTACATAAGCTTAAGTACACATCTGAAGCCTGATCAGCTAGGGGGTACAGAAGAAAAAGTCCAACACGGGAAAAAATATGAAACCAAAGAGGAACAAAATACAGTAAAAAATAGATGAAGTCGCGATGGAAGAAAGGCTGACCAAAGTAAAAAATACAAAAAAAATCAAGAAAAGAAGAAGAGAAAAGACTTTCAAGTATTTGAGGTTTTGGGTATGAGGTTTAAGCCTTTGAGGCTTAAACTCCACACCTTGGTGCCTCAAGGTGGAGGGTTGGTGCACCTCAAATGCTTTTGAAAACCATGATTTTAACAAGTGGATATATGCTTACTTGAATCACTTGCTTCCCAGATTTTTGGAACTGTGCTTGGATTTGTGTGGCCATAGTGGCTTCAAGTTTGGAATAGATAGCTTTCTCCAGTAAATCCACTGTTTTGTCAGCCCCGCCCTTCTGCATAGCAGAGCATCAAGTAAACATTGGCATGTAGAGTTCAAAGAGTAAACAATCACCAAATCTACCTGAAACTCCTGAAAGACTTCATAAATAGCCAAGGGCAGCCCTTTCTCTATAACAGGAATTAGAGCTTGTACAACAATTTTTCCAACAGAAGCTATTTCCTTCTTTACTTCTTTTTCAACTGCTACCGAAAGGTCCTTGGAAACAAAGTTTAGGATTAAATTAGTTATCTCTAGAGTACAGCGGTGTGATAGCTTTTCAACTTCTTCTTGAAGAGGAGCCCATAAAGCATCAGTAATGGCAAACAACATCCCCGGCTGCTTCTGACATCCTTTTTGCATTGTCATGACCTACAAGGGAACTGTTAGATTTAATCAGGTTTGTTCACATATAACCGAATGGGTAATGAGTCAATGTTCGGGTCAATTAGTATAGAGTCAGTTAGCGTGTTTTACATATTTAATTAATTAAAAAAACAGTGAGTAGTTTCTAAAAGGCAATTATGGGTAGTTTCTTTTGGTAATAGGTGTGTTGGTTTGTAATAGTTGTGTTGGTTAGTTAAAGTCGTTAGTCGTGTTGGTCTGTTCTCTATTTATATCTAGAGAGCACAAATAATCCTGTGCAGATTACAGCAATAAGCCAATAAAATATTCTGTTTTGCTTTGATCTGGTCTAGTCTAACAGGAACATGTGGTTTATATGCATATCAAGTAGGTACAGAGAAATATGATAGATAATAGTGGGGATTGTTGCTCAGGAGGAGTAAGCAGATGAATGGATTGCTCGAACTTGACAGGGCAATTGAGACCCGGGGAAGCATCAGGCCCAGATGCAGTAGGCAGGATTCCAGGAGTTGGGGATTGTTGCTCATTTTCGTGAGTGGGAGGTGATCTCAACATGGCCATGAGCGGAGCATCAGTATTCTGGATACTATTAGGGTTGGGGCGGCGGAGTAGGAGGAAAACAATGGGCTGAAACAGATGAGCTAATCATTATATACGAATACTACAACCTCCCAAACTTTTGTCTTCTGTCGACTTTTTATACTCTTTCCATTCCATATTTACTGTTCATTATGAGTTCTTAGACATATTGGAAAATAAATGTAGGTATGAAGTATTTTTTACATTCACTCATTTTTCAATGTCTGATGGAGCCAAAGATTCACTGTTTTTTGGCTTTGGAGTATGTTTGAATAGAGCAAAAAATCTCCATTTAAACTATATGTGCTTCTTTTGATAAGGAAGTAGCATTTAGTCAATGCAATATTCGACGCTCATCATGGGTCATCTGAAAATAGCCGCTCTATGTCTTAAACATAGTGGTCAAGCTATGTACAACTGACCCCCCTTACCCCGCAATGGGCGGGAACCTTTGAGGCATTGGGGTAGTGTTGATATTGTTGTTGTATTCATTTTTTAATGTATCTAAAAAGTCATAATGATACGTTAATTTGTAATAGGAGTACATTTGACTACCAAAAAAGTAGAGTATTTGGTTATATAACAACTAAATTAGGGTCGGGCCCTAATAAAAAGCATATTGACAAGACTAGAAATGACTAGGCTTGTGACAAGCTTATGACAATAAATGACTAGGATTGCTTTCATCTTCATCCCGTCAGCATACTGTTTTCTAGGCTTGTGACAAGCTTATAGTGATGCAAAGCTGCATGCTAGGAGAGCTATGTGGTTTCATTCAGTCAATTTGTATTAAGTGATTTGACAGGATAGTGTTATTGCTAACATTTGGTGGAAAATATGATGAGCTCAACAACACATTCAATTACATAATATCAATAAAAACAAAGGGGGGTGAAGTTTCTTAGGTAGTGTTTGGCAACTAGGATTTCATTTCAATTCATGTATTTCAATTCCAAAATTTGAAATCTTGAATTTCAAATGAAAAGGGGAGGGACATGGATTTAAAAGTAAGCTTTGTTTTGAATGAGAAGAATTTGATTCAAATCCAAATTCAAAATTTGTAAGTTTCCCAAACATGGAATTTAAGCCAAATCCAGATTTGAAATCCAAATCCATGTTCTCAAACAGTCAAACATACCATTATGGCATGCTTGGGAACATGGATTTGGATTTCAAATCCGGATTTGACTCAAATTCCATGTTTGGGAAATTTAAAAATTTTGAATTTGGATTTGAATCAAATTCTTCTCATTCAAAACAAAGCTTACCATGTCCCTCCCCTTTTCATTTGAAATTCAAGATTTCAAATTTTGGAATTGAAATACATGAATTGAAATGAAATGCTAGTTGCCAAACACTACCTTAAGGAATTCAAGGGTTTTGCATCGGTGCTGGACTAGAAATTACCTTTAAAGCATGTGCCGAAGGTGAACACAGCAGCTCAAATTGCTGTTGAACTGCAGCAACATGTTCAGTCAATACTTTTTGAAATTTACCATCAACCTGCTCAAACACTGCCTTGCACGACATGTCGAAAGCAGGGATTACTGAAGCTGCAAGAGTTGATTTTAATGTTTCCTGCACAATAAATGCATATACTTCAGGACATGAAATTAAAGCTCACCACATTTTATGCACTGTTAACATTAAACCATTAACCATGAATAATACCTATTTTTAATAAGAAAACAAATAAGACACATGCTGCACTGCTGCAATGTTGCAAAGAATAAATAAATAAATATAATTGTTAGTCACAAAGAGTTGGTGAATGAAAAAAAAAATTTTTATCACCTCTTGTTTTGTAGAGATTTTGATGTAGTTTTCAAATATATATGCTTCTTATTTCAATAGCAATAAAATCCTTTTTAAAAGTCGCAGGATTTTGCATGTCGTTGGAATAGGGAATATCGTTTTGAAAGTGGGGAGTAAATAAATACGTCCATTATCAAATTTTTGCATTTAAAAGCATGAAAAAGTCAAGTGAGAACCTTATTTTTGGATGGACTATGATGTTTTGTTTGTGTACACTCTAAGCCCAAGAGTCGATAACCATATTCTATTTGAACCTCGTCTATGTTTGTTTGGCTTGATGTACATTTACTAAACTAACTAAAGTACATATCTAAAACCTGAACAGCTAGTGAGCACACAAGAAATACTCCAACACGGAAAAAAACATGAAACCAAAGATTATCGGTGAAGCTAACTCAGACCCAAGAATCCGCAGGGCCTGATAGTCGATTATCACACATGTGATAATCGATTATCACGCTGTGCTGAATCATCTGAGGAGTCCAGCGTGGCCTGATAGTCGACTGTTCTATTCCGTAACTCGATTATCAAGGCACACTGACTTCCAATATATCTGTTTGTTTGTCATCAAAACGTTGGAAGTTTTAGAGAAACGAATGTTTATATTTCCATTGCCGGAACCCACACAAATCAAACCGAGGTATAGACATTCGGTTCAAGTAGACTGGAACCCGCCAACCACAAAACGACGAGTTGGCCAAGGTAACACTTAAACACGCGTGTTGGTACATGTGTGTGTGTGTGTGTTTGCGTGATTATGGGTGCGTGTGTTTATCAGTTTAAAAAGTTGTGTTACTAATCCTCAAGGACCCAAAAGACCAAACGGGTACCAAAATGTTTTCATTGTAGGCGTTGAAGTCAGGGGGAATGTGAACAATCGATTTACAGGCTTGTGATAATCGACTATCACAACCCACAGGAGTTGGAGCAGAAACTGAACGAGCCAATAATCGATTATCAACATTAGGATAATCGACTATCATTGCCCGCAGAAGTTTGAAGCAAATCAGGCGCAAACCACGACAATCGATTATACGTTTTGTGTAAATCGACTATCGCAGCCTGCAGTTCCTTCGGCGGAGAATCTGAAAACCTAGATAATCGATTTACAGGTTATGTAAATCGATTTACAACGGTAGATTTTCAAAAATCTGACCGTTTTCTAGTCGTTTGGAGAGTAATTAATTTTAATATAAAAATTAATACGCACTCATGGCATGCCACGTGGCATGTGATACACATTTGGCATGACACGTGTTACAAATGTACACGTGTGGCGTGACACATGTCGTTATCGCATTTAAGCCGCTCAACTTTATATATGTGTGTGTGTGTGTGTGTGTGTGTATGTGATGATATGATATATGATATGATGATGTGATATGATGTATGATTGGATTCCCCTTTGAATTTGTTGTGGCAACTTTAAAGCTTTTTTATAACCCGAAATATCCGCTATTTAGTTCTCATTCATTGTAGGATTTTTAGTTCACTTTGTTTTCAAAATGTTATGGGCATCAAGTTTTAAGCGTGGGTGTGTAAAGTGCACTTTGTTCTTCTTGATAATAAACACCAACAACCCAGTTAAATCCCACAAGAGTAGGGTCTGGATAGTGTTAACATTTAAGTTGTTTCTTATTGGTCTTTTGAATTAGGACGTTCAAGTCTAAAATGTGGGGGTATTTGATAAGTCGGGTTTGATTTGGTTCTTTTTTTTCTTTTTTAGACATTTTTAATATTTTTAGAGTTTAATTTTTAGTTGTTTTGCTTAGTTTTATTTTAATTTTAATTTTTACAATCTTTTAAATTTCTTGCACAAATAGTAGTTTTTTAATCATTTTTTTACATTTTATTATTTTCTTTATTTTATTTTTCCTAACCCAAATTATCAGATATTTTGTTTTTTAGAGAAAAGTGTAGCAAAAAGACCAAAATAAGGTTCAAGTTTAGATAAAAGAGATTAAATTTGGGTCGGAGCCCAAACCATTATCAACAACAACAGGCCCATTCCTCTTCAGATTTACGCACAAAATTACGCACAAAGGAAAACTAAATACGGAGAAGAGAAGTACGCGCCACTTCTTCAAAACCGCAGGGCAGACGTCTCTCGAACTTTCCCCAATCAATGCTCCATCAGGATTGAGAGTGGAATCATCAGAGAGAAGGGGGGATTCACATGGAATAAAGAGCCGCGGCTTAGGTCGTGGCGGCGATGGAGTCCGAACATGGCGATTGAGGCGGCGGCCGGTGGCACCTCCGGCGAGCGATGTACAGTCTTCTTCAATCTCCAATTTCTTCAATTTCATCATCTTTTTCAATAATTGGTAACTCCATTTTGTCAATTTGACTATACTGGTTCCATCTTAAGCATTCTGTAAAGAAACTTTGGCTCCATCGGAGATGAAGGAAAGAATTGTAATCCATAAATTGAGTTTTCTGAGCAAAGAGAATGAGGGCATTTGAGTGTGATATCAAGCAATAATTATTGAAATAAGAGGGCATACCAGCCACCAATGGTTAAGGAGTACTAAATGTTGCAGCATGAATTCTGATAGTAGTGTGATGCATTTAACTAGCTTGCTTTGATATATTTCATGAATCTAATCTTTTTATACGAACATGCAAGAATCTAATCTAAATAGGTTAACATACAAAAGGACAATGTGAATAAAAGTGACGGATGGAAAGAAGAACTAGGACAAGTACATAATGGTGTATGCATACAATATTTTACTTTAACATTTTGAAAAAAGACATTTAAAACAATATTAAAAAAATGTATGCATACTTATGCTGGTAATTATAGATAGAACAAGCGATTCCATGGTTCTGCTCAAAATCTCAAATCAAGTTTCTTGTAACCACCAAATAACTCATCTACTCTATCAAGTAACACAAACAACATCACAAAAAGAAAACAAAAAGGATAATCTTTTGAAGGAATGTGCACCACAGCTGCAGACAGTGTCACATATATACTACTTGGTAACTTGGGATGCTTAATTACTACCATAGCCAATTAACAAGCTAGTATAAATAATAGCCTCCAGTTTCATGGATGAAACTGTGTGGCTAATTCCTAAGCTCGTGTAATTTTAATGTTGATGTCGAGACAGCCACATTTGCAATCCGGTCGCTCCACCAAACTTTATCAGCCAAAAGATGCCATAATGACACTAATTGTCCATGAAACCCTGGATGAATTGGAGTATACCAATAATCTGAACAGAGTCGTTCAATAAGACCCTTTGCGGACTGAAGCACGAGTGGCAAGGAGGAACGGCACCAGGGACACTTTCTGACACGTTCAGTCCACTTTGAGATGCAATCACAGTGGAAGACTCTAGAGCAGCAAGGCATCTCACTCCATGATGCCACATCTGGTTTGAATATTTCCATGCAAATAGGGCAAGATCCATCCTCCTCTTCCACCTTTGCCTCCTTTTTATCCTCTTCACTCCCTTCCTCCTCCTTTGCCTCCTTTGCCGCTTCCTCCTCCTTCGCCTCAGATGCCTGCCAAGCAAGTTTGTTGATGGCATTACATAATTTCAAGCACCAATCTACTATTAAAGCATCCTCATCCTCTTCATTAATGTCTCCTGCGCCCACAATTAATTTTTTGAGAGAAACAAGAAATTGTGCACGATCAATTTCTTCTTCTTCTTCTTCTTCGGTTTGAACAGGAAGTTCTTCTTCTTCTTCTTCTTCTTCTTCTTCTTCTTCTGGGTAGATTGCTTTTCCTTCTTTGTCCACAAGGGGGAGGGTGATGTGCGTCACCTCGAGGATTCCCACCACGACCTTAGGAGCTAAACCGCGGGTCCCAAGGCGGCGGAGTTTGTCGATGATCGATTGATGGGAGACTTCAGGAACCCCAAGGGAAGTAAGGGTTTCAGATATTTTTAGATTACTGTAATCGTCTATTCGTATACCGTCTTCAGAGGACCAAGGAAGGTCGAGGCATGCCTGCCTTGCCTCCCGCCAATGCTTCTCATCTGTAATTATTCCGTCTCTAGACCAAGGAAGGTCAAGGGATGACTTCCTCGTCTCCAGCCAACCCTTCTCCTCCAGGAACTCATCCATAGGATGTTCTGCCACGCTTAATCTCAGGATGCTCTGCTCTTTGAACACAACTGATGCGGACGACGACGTGCCTGGGGCTACTGCTGCTTTTAAGGAGGAAATTAGGTCTTCTTCCTCGTCGTAATGGCATGTAGCTTCGTGATAGACATTGATTTTGCTGCAACCCAATGATTGGCATAAAACCAACTCCATCTTTGCTTTCCTAACAACTTCCCCACTCTTAGGTCTAGGCGTCTAGCCGTCTTCCGCCCGGAATTCCAGCTTTATACCCATTAAAATAACTAGTACCACACCCGTTGCACGGGTCATATTTACGTTATTAGATTCAGATCATTTTTAAAAAATACAAATTAATATCTAATAGAATATATAGATTTTATTATTTTCAGGTACAAAGTAATTAAAAATTATTTAATTACAATATTTAACATATACACTCCTTCAGGATAATCTCTGTCATAGTTTTTGCACTTAAACTTGGAACCAAGATAACATCATTCGTTGGTATTTTCGATGTCAACCACATCACCAATTATCTAATAATATCCTTTATACAATTAAATCTTAAATTTATGTGTATAGTTTTAAAAATATAAATAAGTCAAATCAAAATTTTAGCCACAAATTTTGTTCATATTTAATGGTTTTTTACCATTTTCTTGCCGAACTAATAATAAAATGGAGAGCTTTATACACCACATAAAAATAAAGGAATATTATTTAAAAACATAAAAAAAATTAGAGAGGCTAATTACGAAAGTGATTGAAAATGACCGTATTTATAGTATGAAAATTTTTATTCCTTTTTTCTATTTAATGGTGTCAATTTTGTTATAATTTATAATTTTTGGAACAAACCTAGCCCTGTAATAAATAGAAACTTTTTAAATATTCACGCCTCTATTTTGGGGTACACTATAATTAATGGCACCATTCACATTTATTATTATTGTTGTTGTTGTTGTTGTTATTGTTGTTGTTATTATTATTATTATTACCATATAAGCATGTGCAAGTAACCGTTGTTAATTGACCAAATAGAATACAAATTACCATTTCTAAATTCAACACTTACCATATATTATCTCACACTTATATATATTTTTTATATTCTTCCAACCAAAATAAAGTATAATTATCTTCTACGTTTGTCATTATTATTACACTTATTATCATGTTTATTATTATTAC